ACTTTTGTAGGAGTTGCCTTTTGTGTGTGTGTGTGTGTGTACTTGCCTAGTTGTACTCACCTAGGGGGGTGAAGCTTTGGCTTGCAGGAGGGGGGGGGGGGTTGAGCTCTGGCTCTTTGGTCCCGCCTCTCAACCGTCAATCAACTGATGTATTTACGATATCTTATTGTGTGTGTGTGTACTCACTCTCAGCTATTTCTACTGGCCTATTTGTTTCTGCAGGATCGAGCATTGACTCTTGGATCCCGCCTTTCTACTTAACGGTTGTTTACAGCAATGACCCCATTCCTATTTCCCTATCAAACCTGTACATATAAACCTATTTCCCTAGTGTGTGTGTGTACTCACCTAGTGTGTGTGTACTCACCTATTTGTGCCTGCAGGATCGAGGATTTCGACCTTAGCTCTTAGGACCTGCTTTTCTAGTCACCGGTTGTCTAATGCAATGACTCCTAAAACTATTTCCCTATCATACCTGCTTTTAAAGTTGTGGATTGAGTTTGCTTCGACAACCTGCTCCTTTTGGTCACTCCATTTATTTACTTCTCTTATGCTAAAATAAAACTTTCTAACATCTCTATGACACATCTGAGTCTCAAGCTTCCATCCGCGCCCCCTTGTTCTGTTGGTATTCATTTGTAAACATTGTGTGTGTGTGTGTGTTGGTCATTGTAAGGCTAGTACCCACTTTCCATAGTTCAAAGAGAACGGATACGACGAGTTTCTGAAATTAGTCTTCGCACGGGCACTCAAACCTTAACTTGTATGATAGTCACTGCGACCAAGCAGTGCTACCAGTCACTGCAGGGGATGGGAATATGTAAGCTAATACAGACAACCATACCGGCATTTATATCCTGGTGCATTGTTGCCAGTGAGTTGGTGGAGAATATTCCACAGGACTGCACGAGATAAGTGGGATTCACGATTTTAAGCTTATTGAGGGAGCCAGCAGGTGGGACGATATTGCCTTCCCCTTCACCCCAGCCATCATCTCACACTGATATTAAGATGGATTCTGAGATATCTCCACAACGAAGAAAAGAATATCAACATTGCTAGCTAGTGCTTCTGGGAAATGACAGCCCTGGGGATTATTTAATTTGCCATCCTTAACACTGCTTAGAAAACTTGTCTACACAGACGGATCCTTCTCACTGGTATAGTAGCTCTGTACCTCAACACATCCGTACTCATCCAACAGAGATGTATCTGCGGCAATACAATGGCAGACCAACATGTCTTGGAATAGTAGTAGCCAGATAGTGAGGGATTACACACGTGCCCCCCACTGTAGCCGACAGCTACGACAGGGGCACTGAGGGTGGTGTTGCTACTTTCAGGAAGACCCTGGGTACTAAGAACTACCGAGGCCTTCTACACTGCTTCGGGTTTGTTTCAGCAGGCTTGGAGACATTAAGCGCATTGGGTAGCAGTGCGCGCAAGTTCTTAAGTGAGTTGAGGAATAAACTTATTTAGGAAACCGGATGTGTAACTCATCATTATATGCATCTAAATATATTTATTCAATGCATGTGTATTCAAACACATTTACGTGTACATAGATGCATATTTTTTATATACATGCATTTGAAGCCTAAATTAACTATTAAATTATTTTACAGTATCCAAAATGATTTTTCAGGATAAATTGACGAGCCTGTGTCATACATGTTTTCACACATGTGTCCAGCGATCGTCGACCCCTGGGATAGCCAGCCACGGTGCTCCAGCTACCCTGGGTTTGTTTGACACATGTCAAGGTAATTATAACAACCTGTGTTTTATTGCATTGTCAATATAGAATTAGGTTTTAATTTGTATTGCATTTTCGTTAATATTAAAAACGGATTTTTTTTTATTAGCTAAACAGTGGAAAGATTTATGAAACATTTTTTGGAGAGGAGGGAGGACGTAGTAACGTGAATCTGTTTTGGCAGAGTTCACCATACAGGTCAGGTTAGGCTGAGGAACCATACACCATACAGGTCAGGTTAGGCTGAGGAACCATACACCATACAGGTAAGGTTAGGCTGAGGAACCATACACCATACAGGTCAGGTTAGGCTGAGGAACCATACACCATACAGGTCAGGTTAGGCTGAGGAACCATACACCATACAGGTCAGGTTAGGCTGAGGAACCATACACCATACAGGTCAGGTCAGGCTGAGGAACCATACACCATACAGGTCAGGTTAGGCTGAGGTCACCATACACCATACAGGTCAGGTCAGGTTATACACCATGCAGTTACTCATATACATCTAGAAAGCTTGAACGGAGGACAAAGCTCTGGCAAGAATTTAGCGAAACTTCAGTTCAAAGAAAATATTCATCAAAAGTAAATTGACAATGCAATTAACACACAAAACGGATGACTCCCATGCTTGCTTGCTTGCCTGCCTGGAAAAACACTTGATAATGAAAGATAGTGACGTGGTCACCTTCGAAGTCGTCAGGAAAGCAAAATACAACAAAGACTTTGCTCGCTGCTCACTCTCACCATAGTAACGTCACGACATTAATGGATCCTTCTCAGAGGCCTTATGATGAGGGGGCTAGTACGATCCCCCTCCTTTATGACGAGGGGGGACTAGTACAACCCCCCTTTATAACGAGGGGGGGGGGGCTAGTACAACCCCTTCCTACATTACAACTACTGTAGTAGACATCCTTCCATATTCCACAGTCTAAACTCTCGTCATTCTGTCATAATTGGTTGAGCATAAAGTTTACTAACTTGACCTCTGATGATTGATTCGTTCTGTACCCAGATCTTATATCACCTCCAGTTTCCTGAAGACTGGTGACGGTCTCCTCAGAGTGTGACTCCCCCAAGACGCCTATTAATATACACAACTTCCTTAGCGCAGGAAACGAAGATGGATTAACACGCGAATCCAGTTTATAAGTGATACAACCCTGACGTCTGAATTGGTGTTGATGCTTTTACGGTAAAAAGAATGAAAGAAAAAAGTATTTCAAGCTGTTTTTTTTCTGAGTAAGAGAGTATTGGATTCCAGAACTCTTTTTACACTGCTTCAAACGGTATCTGAGATTTCATCCTGTGTTCCAATCACTATATGCGATTTTTACCCCATTTGATTTGTAAGGGGTTTCAAGTCAGTTGCACAACGATGTAGTACATTAAAAAGTGCTGCACAGTTCAGGGGTTAAGCTCTCGGACCCGGCAGTCATAGGCGGTGGTGACTAGGATGTTTGTACATTTTTTTTCCTTCTGAATAACTTGTGGGCAGTTATTCCACCTCCTGTGTGTACGTCTCTGTGGTTTAGAATCTGTTGGTTTAGATCTTGAAGCCAACTGGTTTGGATGCTAATGCCAGCTGATGCAGATCATAATATTGGATGGGCCCCAGAGCGCCATCTGTTCTCTCTCTCTCTCTCTCTCTCTCTCTCTCTCTCATCGAAATTAGTTCATAATCTTAACACCGGAAGTGGTGGCTGATGACAAGAAGCTTGGCACTAATAAGATGCGGATGTTCATGTTTAAACAACACGCACCACATGCTGGGAGAGGGGGGGGGGTTCCTGTCCGCCGTCTGAGTGTGTGAGTGCCTCTGGGTGAGTGCCTTGGGTGAGTGACGAAGATGGCCTCGAGGGACTCGTAGGGGAAGCACTTTGCGACCGTCTACGTCCACCTGCTGGTGCGTCAGGTTGGGCTCAAGGCCTCGGGCCCAGATTTTCTCGTTCGCGTTTCTCCTCGACGGGTAAATATTATTATCGAGTAATGTTTAATATAAAGTGTGATCAACGTAGGGTTAATATAGGATCAACGATCAATCAATGTGATCAACGTAGGGTTAATATAGGATCAACGATCAATCAATGTGATCAACGTAGGGTCAATGAAGGATATACGCTAAATCAACGTAGTGTGAACGTAAAATGAACTTCGGCTCAACGCTAGCAACGCTCATTTAATATTAGATCAACGTCCTTTGTCCGAACTTGCTCCGGTGGGGCCCCCATCCGTGGACATTTAGTACGAGTCTTCTTACGAAACCTGTACATCCTTTCTCGATAATTAGGCTTCACCTTGTCAGCTTAATTGATGAAATATTGAAGGTAACTATACCTCTATGAGAATATTTATTAGTCCACACGTGCGCTCTCGTAAATATGTACTTAAACATGCTATCAGCCATCAACGACTCTGATAATTATTTCATTTTAATCACTGTCTGGATAACATAATAACTGAGATTTTAATTAGTCAAATCAATTTGTAATTTATTGTATAAGTTCAAATCACATTGTAATTAATGCGCTGGAATATGAGCGATAGTTCGCTTATTTGCAGACCAATTACAATCAACTGCAGTATTAACCATGTATGTCATTGGCCAATTATCATTCCATTACTGTAAATTGAGCAGTAAAGCTGGTTCAGCGTTGCCCAATCACAGAGACGGAAATTAATAAAGAGTTCCAGGGGCTGGTGGGAATGGTCTCTTGTGGAACACTTGTTCACTGTTCTGAGAGAGAGAGAGAGAGAGAGAGAGAGAGAGAGAGAGAGAGAGAGAGAGAGAGAGAGAGAGACGATATGTACAGAATCTGTGAACAATCGTGGCGTGAACAACAACGTATTTGAAACGTTTGTGAAGCGGCGGCATGTTTGTGTGTACATAAACAAACTCTCCCACTCTCTCTCTCTCTCTCTCCTCTCTCTCTCTGCTCTCTCCAGCCTCCTCTGTCTCATTTCATTACTTCCCGCTCAAGCTCACTCATTCCTTCCTATCTCCTCTCTCCGTCTCTCCCTCGCTCAATCCCTCCATCCATCTTCTTTTCCTTTCCTACATCCCTACCTCTCTTCCCTCCCTCCCCCCCCTCCTCACCTACTCCTCCACCCTCCCTCTTAATTCCTCATTAATGAAGTGAGCGTCAAGACCAACACTCCCAGAGAGGTGTCGACATAGCAACACGCACTCAGCCTCCTGCAGGAAGCTGGAGAGCCTCCCGTGGTGTTGACAACCTTCTCACGTGTCCGGAGAGGAAGAGAAAACGCTTACAGCATCTTCCTTCTTTGCTGGTCTTACCTCACGATGCCATGCTAGTCGAAATGGTCTACGGGTGAGGGACGAATATAGGTCACGGTACGGCTAAGTTAAATGCTTAAAGAAATATTAGCAATTATAAAGACAGCTTGGCTACTTTCATGGAGCTTTCATGACGTCATGTGTGAAATATTTCGTGTGATTACCGTGGAGTTTTACTGAAAAGAAAACAAATTGGAAAAGGAAAAGTGTGAGAGGAAAAGCAAAGCATCTGAGATCTAACATTTGTTTCAGTGCTTCTTGATGGGAGAGAGGGGGGGGGTGATGGAAGTGGGAGAGGAAAACGAAGAAATAGCTAGTGGGAAAGATAGAGATAGGCAGAGCTAGGTAGAGATAGTTATATAGAGGGAGGGGAGACAGAAAGTCCCATACAACGCCGGGTAACCCTCCTAGTTAACAGCATAAAGTAGAGTTTGCCCGATACGCTTTGCGTGCTAGTGGCTTTACAAGAATGTAAAATCATCATTAATATGTACTCTCTTGACCCCTAAAGTACCTTCTTGTATATAAATAAATAATAAAGAAGGTGTCGTCTACTCTCAGGTCACACACCAATATCCAGAGAGTTAAGAAGGTCAACACGCTGACGCGATGTGAACGAAGCTGTTTACACCAGAGAGGAAAATATTTACAAGGTACTCGGCACCACTGACAGCTCATTTAACCCACCTTCAGCCTGCTCTCACACTGCTGTCTCCAGCCTTGGTAATATATGTGTTGGTAGTATATGTGTGTGTGTTGGTAGTTTATATATGTGTGTTGGTAGTATATGTGTGTGTTTGTAATACAAGTGTGTGTTGGTGATAATCTACTTGTGAATGATCAATCCTAGGCAACAACTGGTTATTCATGGGAGTTGACAGTACTCATTCACGGAGCAGCAATACATATATCCACGTTATTGGTAGTACTCATTCACGAGGTTTGCAACATTCATTCACAAGGTTGATAGCCTTTACAAACATCTGGATTATTTACCAACAACAGACAGCATGCTGCATCAACCCGATCGAGGCGCTCCTTACTATTTCAAGAAATATATTGGCAAAATACGAAGAAATATCTCTGCATTTAGGGTTTCTTTTCCTTTGAATTTATGCCAAAGATGTCGTGTGGCCTCCCTCGTTTGTCTCCATTCAGAGACACTTGCTCGTAAAGGAATGGGACATTGTTAGAAGAGAAATTGGTGGCACTGGGGTGCCTCCCTGGCGCGCCATTCTGGCTAATTAGTCTCTCCATCTGTGCCAGTAGCGCCACCCAGATGTAACAGGCACTAGCTTCCTGGATCCCACCCGCGGGGATAGACGGATCCTACTAGTGGGACCTCCGGATCCCAACCATGGGGAAGGGAGGATCAGACACTTGGGTCTTCCCCTTGGTGCCTGTGAAGCCTACCCGTGGGACCTCCCTGATCCCTCCTGTGCTGCTAAATGTATATTAAACCCACTATAGCACCCGGGATCCCACCCAACAGATGTCTCGCCTATAAGCCCTCTTGAATGGACACTTGCATTCCGTCTGTAGCGCCCTTCATCAGGTGTAACGAAGCCAGTAACCGTGAAGCTTTAGCTACTTTAGATCTCTCATGATACATGAACCCGTCCAGGTAACTGATTCCTGTACTATGGGTTGATATGTATATTTCTAAAGCAAGAACAGTTGGTGATCAATAGGACTGTGACATCACCTCCGTTGTTGCATCAGCTGACACGTGTAAATTAATAGAAAGAGGAGAGGTCATTGTGAGCGGCGTTTGATCGAGAGGTGAAGCATCAGACAAGCAGCATGAAGCCTGATAACGTAGTGTGAGAGGCTGTGAAGCCGGCACCTGGAGCCGGATACACCAGACGACATCTGGCTACAAAAGGTGCCTCTTCACCACCTGCTTTTTTCAGACAATATCGTGTGACATAAAAATACTTTTAGGAATGACAGCATCTGCATGGAATGGGAATGTATGACTTCACTGGAAACATATATATATATATATATATATATATATATATATATATATATATATATATATATATATATATATATATATATATATATAAATTTTGTGAGGGTACCACCTCTGGTGCCAATGTGGGGACCCATAGCCTCGGAGAAGAAAATAAAAAGTATTCAGAGGAGACCTTGTGGTTTCTCACTGAACACTAATATTATCTTCTCCTACCACCCCCATTCTTTTGTATGTACACATATATATTTACTTATTTGAACTTTGTTACAAAAAAGGAGTTACATATGGGTTACAAAGATGGTTGTCATAGGTTGTCGAGTTCCTCCAGCTCCTCAGATGGCGGGCAGGAACCCTGGATGCAGTGCGCATTTCCCCTCTGTATCGCCACACTGAGGCGCTGGAAAAGAAAGCTTGCAGCTCTCTATATATATAGCTCTGCATAGCTCTATATATAGCTCTATATAGCTCATATATAGCTCTATATATAGCTCTGCAGCTCTATATATATATATATATAATATGTATATATATATGTGTGTATATATATATATATATATTTTTTTTTTTTTTTTTTTTTTTTTTTAATAGGGAAGGGAGTACCACCTCTGGCTGGAAGAAGGGGGACCCATAGCCTCGGAGGAAACCACACATAACGCATTGGAGGGAATGTGTATTCCCTCCAATACACTTTCTGTGTGCTTTTCTCCTACCACCCCTTCCCTTTTTTTTCCTTTATTGTGTATTTAAAAGGTTACAAAACATACAAGACAAATGCCTAAAGGTTATGGATCTCTTGAAGCTCCTCCGCTTCTGGACAGGAACCGAGGACGCAGCAAGCATTTCCCCTCTGGATCGCCACACTGAGACGCTGAAATAAAAAACTGGAAGCCCTTGGGTCTCTGGTGACGTCAATGAGCTTGGACCCCAATTCCTTGAGAAATCCCAAGGCACTCTTGCCCCAGGGGCCATGCGTCTCAGACGCTATGGGAACAAAGAGGTATTGACCTTCCAGTCGCCTGTACTTGAGTGATTTTGCTGTTTCCCTGTGGTTGGCCGCCCCACCTGCTTGATCAGCTCCCAAGTGTACATAGGTGTCAGCCAGGGTGGATACACATGTGTAGTCCCACACCAACTGTCTACCCTCCTTCCATGAGTATATGGTGATGCCATCAGGGCGAAGTGCTGGGAAATCCGGGTTTTGGACCCCTAGGATGCGAGGTTCTCTCTCCGCTGGGCACCCAGCTGAGACGAGGCTTCTCTTGATGATGTCATTGACCTCGTTGTGTCTTGCATGCCAGCCCTTTGTGCTTCCGCAATGCAACCCATGCAGTCCGTATTGGTCTGCTTCCACCCTGTTGCAAATACACTTGTATTCAGTGTGAATTGGGGCACCAAGGCGGAGGGCCACTGCTACACGAAGGGATTCTGGATCTAGGCGCGTGCCCATTGCAGACATGGGTACTGCCAGGAGGAAGTCTCCTGCATGGGGGGCACGAACTGCTCTGAGGCGGGCTTTCTCCTTGTCTGATGTTGCGACGCTTAGTATGGCATCAGCTACTTTTTCCACTAGAGGGTGGTCCCAGCCGGACTGTTTGTGTTGTTTTGTTGGCTCTATAATGGTTTCTGGGGCTGCAAGAACATTCCACTGATTTGAACATTCAGTGAAAGCAGGATCGTGTATTCCTGCTGAATCTCTCAGGGTTGCAGGTAAAATATCTCTGACGAGGTCGTGCGATGCATGAGAGGATATATATATATATATATATATATATATATATATATATATATATATATATATATATATATATATATATATATATATATATATATATATATATAGAGAGAGAGAGAGAGTGACTGACTGACTGACTGACTGACTGACTGACTGACTGCTCAGACTGTCGCTGTGAGGCAGCCACTCCTCTCATCACGATTTGACACCGTAAAAATGTAACTATTTTGTCCGGACAGAATCCATCGAATCCAAGCATCATACCTATCCTGTCCAGACCGACGCAGAGCACATGTTAACACTACAGGGCTGCAATTTTGACTAGTACGTCGGATTTTTCATGGATTTCTCGGATTTCTGTAATAAAATGAGATAAGAGGATTCCCTTTCTCCTTTCCCCCCTCCCCTGCCCGTCTCTCTCTCCTGTATGTCCTTTCTCCTTTCTAATCTCCCTCTCTCCCTGGAGGAGGGAGAGAGAAATGGGCGGAGGCGTGCTGAGGAGGCGTCATGGGCCGGTACACAGGGGCTGGTGCAGCATAACACAGGGGCGGGTGCAGCATAACTCAGGGGCTGGTGCAGCATAACACAGGGGCTGGGGCAGCATAACACAGGGGCGGGTGCAGCATAATACAGGGGCGGGTGCAGCATAACACAGGGGCTGGGGCAGCATAACACACGGGCTGGTGCAGCATAACACAGGGGCGGGTGCAGCATAACACAGGGGCTGGGGCAGCATAACTCAGGGGCGGGTGCAGCATAACACAGGGGCGGGTGCAGCATAACACAGGGGCTGGTGCAGCATAACACAGGGGCTGGGGCAGCATAACTCAGGGGCGGGTGCAGCATAACACGGTACACGTCCGGGACGCAGGGCTACAAAGAGGCTAATTTGCATGGCGCGAGATGCGTCGTTAGTGAGGCGATTATCTCCGGATGGGGCGATCCTGATGACATCATGATGGAGGCTGGGGCGCTGATGGAGGCTGGGGCGCTGATGGAGGCTGGGGCGCTGATGGAGGCTGGGGAGCTGATGGAGGCTGGGGCGTTGATGGAGGCTGGGGCGCTGATGGAGGCTGGGGCGCTGATGGAGGCTGGGGTGCTGATGGAGGCTGGGGCGCTGATGGAGGCTGGGGCGCTGATGGAGGCTGGGGCGCTGATGGAGGCTGGGGCGCTGATGGAGGCTGGGGCGCTGATGGAGGCTGGGGCGTTGATGGAGGCTGGGGCGTTGATGGAGGCTGGGGCGTTGATGGAGGCTGGGGCGTTGATGGAGGCTGGGGGCGCTGATGGAGGCTGGGGCGTTGATGGAGGCTGGGGGCGCTGATGGAGGCTGGGGCGTTGATGGAGGCTGGGGCGTTGATGGAGGCTGGGGGCGTTGATGAAGGCTGGGGCGTTGATGGAGGCTGGGGCGTTGATGGAGGCTGGGGCGCTGATGGAGGCTGGGGCGTTGATGAAGGCTGGGGCGTTGCTGGAGGCTGGGGCGCTGATGGAGGCTGGGGCGTTGATGGAGGCTGGGGGCGTTGATGAAGGCTGGGGCGTTGATGGAGGCTGGGGCGTTGATGGAGGCTGGGGCGTTGATGAAGGCTGGGGCGTTGATGGAGGCTGGGGCGTTGATGAAGGCTGGGGGCGTTGATGGAGGCTGGGGCGTTGATGAAGGCTGGGGCGTTGATGGAGGCTGGGGCGTTGATGGAGGCTGGGGGCGTTGATGAAGGCTGGGGCGTTGATGGAGGCTGGGGCGTTGATGGAGGCTGGGGCGCTGATGGAGGCTGGGGGCGTTGATGAAGGCTGGGGCGTTGATGGAGGCTGGGGCGTTGATGGAGGCTGGGGGCGCTGATGGAGGCTGGGGCGTTGATGGAGGCTGGGGGCGCTGATGGAGGCTGGGGCGTTGATGGAGGCTGGGGCGTTGATGGAGGCTGGGGGCGTTGATGAAGGCTGGGGCGTTGATGGAGGCTGGGGCGTTGATGGAGGCTGGGGGCGCTGATGGAGGCTGGGGCGTTGATGGAGGCTGGGGGCGTTGATGAAGGCTGGGGCGTTGATGGAGGCTGGGGCGTTGATGGAGGCTGGTGGCGCTGATGGAGGCTGGGGCGTTGATGGAGGCTGGGGCGTTGATGAAGGCTGGGGCGTTGATGGAGGCTGGGGCGTTGATGGAGGCTGGGGGCGTTGATGAAGGCTGGGGCGTTGATGGAGGCTGGGGCGTTGATGGAGGCTGGGGCGTTGATGGAGGCTGGGGCGTTGATGGAGGCTGGGGCGTTGATGGAGGCTGGGGCGTTGATGGAGGCTGGGGCGTTGATGGAGGCTGGGGGCGTTGATGAAGGCTGGGGCGTTGATGGAGGCTGGGGCGTTGATGAAGGCTGGGGGCGTTGATGGAGGATTGGTAGATGACAAAGTGAGGTATTGATGGGGAATGTGACGTGGGTGGGTTGGGAGCGTTGATGGAGGGCGTGATAAAAAGTGGCTGGACTTGTAAAGGCGGAGCTCCTGTGACCGTAGGTGTAAAGCGTTCGAATGATATACAAGAGAAACGAATGCGGTTCAGAAGAACCTTCCCGCCTTCCAATTGAACCACAACAGGGCCCCATTGGGCTCAGTTAGGATCCGCGAACCACCGGATACCCAGCCAGAACCTGGGGCCCTTCCACAACGCCAGAACCTTCTACAGGCACGCTGGCGACCGAGTACATCAAGGAGATTGGTTCCGTCAAAGTCACACATCCTAAATGATTCGGGTGAGCAGTAGGAGAGAAGTCAACGCCCTTTGGCCATGGCCGAAGGAGACCTCCGAGAAGTAAGCAGTGTGGGAAGCCTTCCCGGTGAAACCTCCTGTGCTGGCCTGTAAGAAGCGAAAATCCTTGAGTGTCACCCCGGTGAGTGCCAAGCTTCCAGCAGCTTAAGTATTCTGATTTCCCTTTTGTAAAGACCATATTTGTCTTTGTAGAAGCATGAGGTCTTGAGAGCTCCACCTGTTACATAAAGAGCATTGCTTTGTTTAATCTAGAATATTAATGTTCTAAGAAGAGAAAACTGTAATTCAGGATGCCATGGAAGGAACCCTGTAATTCAGGATGACAGGGAAGATGCCCTGTAATTCAGGATGACAGGGAAGATGCCCTGTAATTCAGGATGACAGGAAAGATGCCCTGTAATTCAGGATGACAGGGAAGATGCCCTGTAATTCAGGATGACAGGAAAGATGCCCTGTAATTCAGGATGCCATGGAAGGAACCCTGTAATTCAGGATGACAGGGAAGATGCCCTGTAATTCAGGATGACAGGAAAGATGCCCTGTAATTCAGGAGACAGGGAAGATGCCCTGTAATTCAGGATGACAGGAAAGATGCCCTGTAATTCAGGATGCCATGGAAGGAACCCTGTAATTCAGGATGACAGGGAAGATGCCCTGTAATTCAGGATGACAGGAAAGGAGCACAGTAATTGATGCTGCCAATAGAGATTATATATCTACGGTACCAGGAATCCGATCCTGAACAAATTCCTACTCGTTTCTCATGGCGACGAGGAGCTGGTTATCCAGAGATCATACAGATAGACGCCGTGTCACGTGACCGTGCCGATGCATGGAATGACGGAGTCGAGTGAACTACCAGCAGACGAAGCTGAGTGCACTAGCCAGGTGGACGGAGCCGAGTGAACTACCAGCAGACGAAGCTGAGTGCACTAGCCAGGTGGACGGAGTCGAGTGAACTACCAGCAGACGAAGCTGAGTGCACTAGCCAGGTGGACGGAGTCGAGTGAACTACCAGCAGACGAAGCTGAGTGCACTAGCCAGGTGGACGGAGTCGAGTGAACTACCAGCAGACGAAGCTGAGTGCACTAGCCAGGTGGGCGGAGTCGAGTGAACTACCAGCAGACGAATCTGAGTGCACTAGCCAGGTGGACGGAGTCGAGTGAACTACCAGCAGACGAAGCTGAGTGCACTAGCCAGGTGGACGGAGTCGAGTGAACTACCAGCAGACGAAGCTGAGTGCACTAGCCAGGTGGACGGAGTCGAGTGAACTACCAGCAGACGAAGCTGAGTGCACTAGCCAGGTGGACGGAGTCGAGTGAACTACCAGCAGACGAAGCTGAGTGCACTAGCCAGGTGGACGGAGTCGAGTGCAGTATGCCAGGTGACCGACAGATGGAGCCAATACACACAAGGATATATTTTTCAAAAGATACAATTATTCTTTAAGCTTCGGGAAATAATGCAATATATTGGCTCCATCTGTCGGTCACCTGGCATACTGCACTCTTTCCCGAAGCTTAAAGAATAATTGTATCTTTTGAAAAATATATCCTTGTGTGTACAAATGCATTTACAAACAAAATGTTTGTTATGTATTCTATATATAAACAAAATCTATATAAATAAAAATGTAAATATTCGTTTGTTCAAATTCGCTAATCTCCGAAAGTTCTTCACCGATTGCTTTGAAATTTTGACACAACGTTGCATTCGAATAGGCGCGCGTTTTTATATACCTACTATATACATGCCTCACCTGTGACAGGTAAAAACATGCGTTTTTGAAAAACAGCGCCATCTTTTGCACGTAAGAGCAACACACGCTGTAATCTCGAAAGTTCTTCACAGATTGCTTTGAAATTTTGACACAACGTTCCATTCAAATACGTGCGTGTTTTTATATATCTACTATATAGATGCCACACTTGTGACAGGTAAAAACATGTTTTAAACAACGCCATCTGTTGCATGTAATAGCAACACGCGCTATACTAAATATGTTACAATTCCATTTCAATGTTTCCGATTGCATTGATAAGTTTAATTTTCATATATTGCGATCTATTTTCATTTTAATTTAATTATTTTGTGTGACATTGCATTGGAATTGATCCATTTTGTATACCATACCATTTATTTCATGAGTATAGTTTATTTTTTTAAACCGTTTTTCATTTTGTTTTTGTAACTTCTTATTTTCCAGTGATGGGAACAATAGATCATTTGATGTTCCCATTTTTCTGATGGGAGCATCAGATCATTTGGGAACGCATTGGAAGAGGGAGTGGAGAATGGTGGGGAGGACGAGGGGACAGGGGAGGGGAGAATTGTGGGGATGATAAGGGGACAGGAGAGTGGGGGATGGTGGGGAGGATGAGGGGATGGGGGATGGGGAATGGTGGGGAGGTCGAGGGGACGGGGGAGTGGAGAATGGTGGGGAGGATGAAGGGATGGGGAGGGGGGGAATGATGGAGAGGATGGGGGGGGGGACAGGGAAGGGTTGCTGTGGCTCAGCCAGCTAGTATATAATAAAAATGCAAACAACAGACACAAGCATTTTCAACATTATAAAGAACTGAAACAAATGAGCAACGAATGCAAACAATAGACGGAAGAACATCGAGAGTATAAACAATTTGAGTACCATCACTATAGACTTGAAGAGTTTATATCTTCCTCCTTGCCTTGTAACTCTTCTCCCTCCCCCTCCTCCCCTAGATCCTTCCGTCTCCCCCTCACCCCTCTCCCCTCTCGCTCTCCCGTCTCCCCTCTCCCCCGTGTCTGCGAGAACAACAAACTCGTGGCGAAAAATCGGTCGGCAAAAGTGTCAACACAACATGACGAGAGATGACTCCGCTTCATTCGGCCAGCCTCAACGGTGTTTACATAATGGTTGGCTTATTTGCCCGCTCGAGTCGTGCTGGCGGTGGTCGCTCTGTCTCATATGCGGTCGTTCCCTGCTGACGTATAGGTCGTTCCCGGGGTGATAAGGTCGTCCCTGCAGTGGTCGATTCTTTCTAACGGGGCCCCTTCCGTCTCATGCGATTGATCCCTGCTGACAGAGATCGTTCCATCTGACGTAGTCGTTCCCTCTGAGACGGAGATCGTTCCCTTACTGATGGGATCGTTCCCTGCTGACGAGATCGTCTCTGCTGACTATATCGTTCCTCCTGACGAGGTCGCTTGCTCCTCACATGGTCTCCGGTGACTGGCTTCCAGAGTTTCTCGAATTTCAATATCTGTCGGCCACAGCACAAAGGCGGACGATGAAGAGTAACGGGAATATTACGACCTGGGCCCTTGATACTGAGGAGAGCCCTGACCTGTATGACCAACCACTTGGGCTGGACGGTAGAGCGACGGTCTCGCTTCATGCAGGTTGGCGTTCAATCCCCGACCGTCCAAGTGGTTGGGCACCATTCCTTCCCCCCGTCCAAGGGAAACCGGTGGCTGAGCGAAGAGAGCACTGTACGCGTGATCCTGTGGTCCCGGGTTCGATGCCGGGCGCCGGCGAGAAACAATGGGCAACGTTTCATTCTGGAAAATGGAATTCTTTCACCCTGATGCCCCTGTTACCTAGCAGTAAATAGGTACCTGGGAGTTAGTCAGCTGTCCCGAGCTGCTTCCTGGGGGTGGAGGCCTGCTCAAGGACCAGACCGCGGGGACACTAAGCCCCGAAATCATCTCAAGATAACGTCCCATCCCAAATACTTTTCCTGATCCCTTCCAAGTGCTATATAGATGTAATGGCTTGGAGTTTTCTCCTGATAGTTCCCTTGTCTCCCCTGACCTGTGTATGATGGTGAAGAGGATGACCTGACCTCTGAGGCTGCTTCTCACCTGGATGTGCTCATCTCCAGGTGCTTACAGATCCAAGCTTTAATTCCTAGGCACAGCCTTTCCACCTAGCTATTGGTTAATTCTTTCTACAAGATCGTTCTTACTTTTGATGCTCTGTATACAAATGGCTTCCCCCCAATATCCTCTGTTCTATTTATCTTCAACTTTTACGTTAAAAAAGTCTTCCTGACGCCTCTGTGTTTCATTTACAACTCAAATTACTATCTATGTCCCCCTCTGTGATTCCCCTAAGGATCTTCTATGTTGGTATCATGTTTTCCCTCTACTCCTGGCCTCACATGCAATGAGTTTCAGTTTTCTGAGCATTTTTCTGCAGCTCAATTCTGTGACACGGTGATCTTTTCAAAGGCAGTTTTCACGCTCACATAAAAGTGAGTGCATGCAACAGGCGTTGATGCCTTCTGCAGGAGCCAGAAGAACTCCAGGAGCGCCAGAATTAACTCCAGATTGAGAGCTCTTGGCTCTTGTCCAAGCATCAACGTCCCTGCGGCCCGATCTCTAACCGGTTCACCTAGTTGGTGGTCTGGACAACCAAGCTGTTGGATGCGGCTGCTCGCAGCCTGACGTATGAGTCACAGTCTGGTTGTTATCAGGTATCCTTTGGAGGTTTTTATCCAGTTCTCTCTTGAACACTGTGATGGGTCGGCCAGTTATGTCCCTTATGTGTAGTGGAAGCGTGTTGGACAGTCTCGGGGCTCTGATATTGATAGAGTTCTCTCTCAGAGTACCTGTTGCACCTCTACTTTTCAACGGGGGTATTCTGCACATCCTGCCATGCCTTCTGGTCTCATGTGGTGTTATTTCTGTGTGCAGGTTTGGGTCCAGCCCCTCTACTATTTTCCACGTGTATTTTTTTTTTTTTTTGAGATAT